AGGCTTCCATCAATTTGTTTTACGAAGCGAGTTATAAGAATGGAACCCGGTCGGTAAGTGAGGAATGTTGGTACTAAGACTGACTCACTAAAAACGAGACAAACATACAGATATACACTATGAATGACTGTCTCATACTAAGACAAACACGCACAGATTAAAACAAAAAAATGCCTACTATGACATACTCACTAAAACAGAGCTAACCAGGTAGATGCATACTGTAACTCACTCACATGGACTGAGACAAACAGAAGCGTACTGGGGCTGGCTCACAAGGACTGATTCTCACAAACCGAGACAGACCCATGTATACTATGACTGATTCACATAGTTACAGACATACAGGAAAATGCATACTAAGATTGACTCACAAATAAATAGAAAACCAGAATATGTGTTCAATGCCTGATTCACACACTGAGTCAGACAGATACAAACTAAGTATAACATGCACAAATAGATAGATATAGATTTATGCAATATCAGGCCCCACTTACACAGACACATGCTGACATAAAAAGAATATATTAAATATTTTATCTTGTAAAACTATTGAATTTACAATTACTGGTTGATCACAGGGTAGACCATATATGTGGGATGGATTGACTGATTGGATCAATCAAGCAAAAATATGTTTTTTTATTCATTGTTGTGATGCGTAGAGATATGACTGTATGAATGCCTGTTCTTTTAACCAACTGAGCAATGTGCCTGCACATTCTATCCAAGATAAATTCTATCTATATGAATCCATTTACTCTGATACATGCAAGCATGCTATACACCAACATAGCATGATATATACACCCGCAAACATGCACTAACAAATCCAGATATTTTGTAACATACACCCACATATCCAGATACTTTGTAACAATCACTAAACAAAATTATAAACGCAACACTTTTGTTTTTGCACCCATGTTTCATGACCTGAACTCAAAGATCTAAGACTTTTTCTATGTACGCAAAAGGCCTATTTCTCTCAAATATCGTTCACAAATCTGTCTAAATATGTGTTAGTGAGCACTTCTCCTTTTGTCGAGATAATCCATCCACCTCACATTATTGTGGCCAGCCTAAGACACACCTTTGCAATAATAATGCTGTCTAATCAGCATCTTGATATGTCACACCTGTGAGGTGGATGGATTATCTCCGCAAAGGAGAAGTGCTCACTAACACAGATTTAGACAGATTTGTGAACAATATTTGAGAGAATTAGGCCTTTTGTGTACATAGAAAAAGTCTTAGATCTTTGAGTTCAGCTCATGAAAAAGGGGGAAAAAAACTAAAGTGTTGTTTTGTTCAGTGTACATACATTATTATTATTTATTATTTTATTATTTATATAGCACCATCACATTCCGTAGCGCTGTACATTGGGTGGACTAACGGAATGTAATTTTAACCAGACAGTTGGACGTACAGGAAAAGAGAGGTGGAGGGCCCTGCTCAATGAGCTTACATTCTAGAGGGAGTGGGGTATAGTGACACAAAGGGTAAAAGTAGGGGTAAGAAGTAGGTTGTTAGAAAAGTATTCATTGAGGGCTTAGTAGGTAAATTTTGACAGTTGCAGGAGAGGAGTCATGGGGTGATAAAAACCTGCTTACAGTTTAACTGATATGCTTTCTTGAAGAAGTGAGTTTTCAATGACAGATGATATACGTAGGTCTTTGGCAGAGCGTAGGGGCCTCGACGGGACATACTTGTGTATTAGAGAGGATAGGTAGGTTGGAGCAGCATTATGTAGGGATTTGTAAGCAAGCACCAGAATTTTAAATTGAGCCCTATATTTAACTGGAAGCCAGTGCAGGGACTGACAGAGCGGGGAGGCGTGGGAGGTGCGAGCGGACAGGAAAATTAGCTTCGCCGCTGCATTCATTATAGATTGCAGCGGTGCAATCTGGGAGCATGTAAGACCACTGAGAAGGGTATTGCAGAAGTCAAGGCGAGAGAGAACAAGAGCATGGACCAGCACCTTAGCCGCATCTGGTGTTAAATAGGGGCGAATGCGCGCTATGTTTTTGAGATGGAAGCGACAAGATTTGGTGATTGATTGGATATGAAGGAGAGGTTGGAGTCAAAAAGAACAACCAGGCAGCGAGCCTGTGAGGTAGAGGTGATGGTAGCGCTGTTGACTTGGAGGGAGACAGACAAAGGAGTAGTAACACTTGAGGGAGGAAATATTTGGATACATCCACATATCCAAATATTTCGTAACATACATCCACATATCCAGATACTTTGTAACCAACATCCACATATACATCCACATATCCAGATACTTTGTAACCAACATCCACATATACATCCACATATCCAGATACTTTGTAACATACATCCACATATACATCCACATATCCAGATACTTTGTAACATACATCCACATCTACAGATATTTTTAACATGCACTAACTAACTATAATCTATGTAAGAATGTATTCACTGACTATAAATGCATGTACCCAATTGCAGTTAAACATAAAAACATGTGCCCACGCTTGATATAAATATCTCCATACTTGACTGTAGCTGCCCCCTTCTCTGGGCTATGTGGCTAATGACAGCTCTGGCTACGGTAGTGGTTGTATTGAAAATGAGAAGATTATAGGACACCTGATCTGTCACAGATCCATACTGATGTCAATGC